CAAAATGTCTATAAAAGAGGAAAAAATGTAATTAAAATTGAAAGAGATGGGTCCTTGAGCTGTGAATTGAAGCATCACAGCTCACATGTAATCTTAGCATTTATTTGATAATGAAAAGGCTGATAAGCCTTGCCTTTCTTCTGCCCCAAAGGCCCATCTGTCACTTGCTCTTTGATTACCATTGCTAACCAAAATACCCCCTTTGTCTCAGCTGACTAATTATCACATGCCTTTTGTGGTCCTAGCATCTCATTTTTGTTTCACTTTTCTCGTCCATATCGGCCGAGATACCTCGAATTTCGACTCGAGAGAAGCTGATCGAGTCGAGTGTTAATGTTTGACTCCAATTCCCACTTCTATCTCTCTGTGGTTGCTTGTGGGGATGGATATTGGATTGCTCCAAGGTACTCACTCAGCTGCAATGGTCCTGTAATGGGAATTGGCATGTTTGATCAAGTGAGACGTGACTTGTGAAGGGTCAGTTTTCATTGTCGCCCCCATCCTGCTTCTAAAAGGCCTCAACATTCATAATTCAGATGGCAATTGATTGTGGCGTTGGCCGAGCAATGACGTGCCTTCGATTCGGGGTTGGCACATGGTGGTGGCTGATGGTGGTCCTTACTTTCCATCACCCGCCCCCCTGCCTGCTCGATGACTCTGTCAACTCCTGCAAATCTCGTGCTACCTGAGAGTTGTTTAGACTTAATCAAAACATGGTGGCATGGCATTGGAGTGGGACGTAATAGTTGAAAAGAAAGTGTTACCTATACAGACAGATTTGGCATTTGCCTTCCCAAGATAATGGTTTTTTCTACTCCTTTTTCATTTGGCCAACAGTGGTTTCCACTGCATAATATATGGTCCAATGGAGCATCATTAGATACTTACCTTCAAGACTCTAATACCAAAAGTGGGCACCATTGAGTTGAATCCCTCCAAGTTGGGTCGACATTGGACTGAGCTATCTATCAACTCAACCATTTGCCTCAATAGATCCCTAGAAACTTCCAGCGAACTGATTGTGGTCCTCTTTTATCATCGAGGAACATCTTATCTTGCTATTGCCACCATCTCATCTTCTACACCTGATTTCAACTATCTTTTGAGCCTGTCAGAAGCCAAAGAGATGTCAAATTTGAGCAATGAGGGATTAAGAATGTGGTAGATAGTTTCATAAGCAACTGTTGTTTACTTGGAGTATCTGTCTAAGGATTAAGTGTAGGACCACGTTTCTTTGTGTTTATGCATAGGTTAAATCAGCATCAGATTCAGACCTATGAGTTCAATGTTTTCAATTTTCTCCTTGACAATCTCTTAATGTGTGGGCTCCAATACTACCCATATAAGAGGGCTAACAAATAGATTATTAATATGAAATGACAAACATTTAAGCTCAGAACATAGTACTTTAATGCTATATTAACTCACTAATAGAGAGGACTTTTCTAGTACTACATTTAACCATACTTCCATTTATAATTCACCACATCAATAGCGTTCGAGATTAGTGTGACGTTATTTGAATAAAATTGTATAGTGCTTAGTAAGGTGTCAAAAGTTAAATTGAAGGAGTAGGTATGGGGTAATATTTGAATTTTTCTCAAATAGTCGAACCAAAATCTTAAACTATTTAAGGTATGAGAAATTTTATCTTCTTAGCTGGGCATATCCTCCCAATGGAGTGTTCCAATGAAATTCCACATCGGTTGGAGAGGGGAATGAAACATTCTTTATAAGGGCGTGGGAACCTCTCTCTAATAGATGCATTTTAAAACTTTGAGGGGAAACCCAAAAGAGAAAGCCCAAAGAGATATTTGCTAGCGGTGGACTTGAGCTGTTACAAATGGTATCAAAGCTAGACACCGGGCGGTATGCCAACGAGGACGCTGGCCCGAGGAAGGTGGATTGTGAGATCCCACATCAGTTGGAGAGAGAAACAAAACATTCTTTATAAGGGTATGGATAACTCTCCCTATCAGACGTGTTTTAAAACTTTGAGGGAAGTCTGGAAGGGAAAGTCTAAAAAGGACAATATCTGCTAGCAATGAGCTTAGGTCACTTGGGTTGTTCTAGTTCCCTCCTAACTTTTGAGTTAAGTTGTTTTTGACGTAATACTAGACATGTAAGACACGTCCAAATGTCTTATTTTCTCTAAAAGCTAATATTGAGGTAAAAGTGAGAGCAAATGTAAAGGATGTATCCAAAACATTATTTTTTTATGATTATAAACTTAAAATTTTGGGCTCAATGCAATTTTACATATCTTATACAAAATGATAATGAATGTGAGTGAAAACAATGAAGAACACTGACAGGTTGGGCAATAAGATGCTCAGAAATTGCAGCAGGGAAGACACAGCCTCCACAGTTGCAGCCTTCGCGTTTGCCTCGGGTCAGCGGTCGCCATTCTTTCTGGGCTTCCATTCCATTCTGTCTGTAAACTGTGAATTCAACAAGGCCAAGATAATAAGCTATATGTATCAGTTTCAACAAATGAGGGAGCAAGAGCTAATGAAAAGATAAGCAAAATTACATTGGAAAAGCAAAAGAATGTGAGCTGTTGGTGCTGTCATTCGACCCAAGTGAGTCACTGCCCACATAAGATGAAAATGAGGGCCTTCTCACTGTGTTGAAAGCAGGATCAACCTCAGAGGAACCATCATCTCTCTGATAAACAAAGCCATAAATGCTTCTGTACCGTCCCGTTTGGTTTTCTGGTGCATAGTCTTTGGCTGTGGATGTCCTGCCACTGCCCCCTACTCCGCTCGGTGATAAACCCGAATTGCGAAAGACGTTTCCATGTTCAATGTTGCTTCCAGCAACTCCTTTGCCTTTGAGCTTGTTTTCATCAAGTATCTTAGTCAATGATATTGCAATAGAGTTGGAAGAAGCTGCTACCCTTTTACCTGTTACCTACAAAGTTTGCAGACAATCAAATCAAGTCATTGAATTTTACAAAGATATGAACAAGTAAGCTAAGCTGAGTTTATTCTCACCTTTCTATCAAGATGCAATTTAGGCACAGATTTCTTATTGGAAAAGTCAGAAGGGATTTCATCTTTTGCATCATAACAAAACTTTTGGTTCTCATTTACTTTGTTCAATAAATTTTTCTCAACGACCTGTGTTGAGTCAGTACTCAAAATCGACGACTCCACGTCCTCAGATTCTTCAGTTGTTTCAATGTCGCTTGCTGCTACATTACTTTTGAGCATGCAGGGTACATAGCCATTTTGTGTGTCACAGTTCTCCTCAAAGCACTCCTCACAAGAAGTTCCTGCTTTGTCAATGCAAATGTCTTTCACAAATTCATAGTTGGTTTCTTGAAGGAAAACAACAAGCTCGGGCAGCTCGTCGTTGATTGAACTCGTCGAGGAATACCGACTCATTCTATCTCCACTTGCTTCTGATTCACCAGGATCATCTTCACTCTCTTGTACAATACAGTTTCTTCTCTTAAAGGACTCAACATCATCAACTTTCCCTTTGTTCTTCTCCATGCTTGGACTTTTACACATATTGTTCACTACCAAATCTGAAAATTCATTCCTCATTTATTCTTTAATGATGAACAGATCACCAAATTTCCTGGTTGGTAAGGTTGATCCTTCCAATTCTTATGAAGCTGACAATGAATTTGTGCAACACTAAATAAAACACACAATCAGACATCAATCATCTTATAATTGATTCCATGACATGGAAAACAAACAAACATTCTATTTAATGTTGTTTTGGGAAAGTCAGCTCCTCTGATTGAATATCAGAAACAGTCTAGAATGTAACCAAAACCAACACTATCATTTTCACAAGAAAGATCCCAAGTCTAAGTTTCTTCCCTTCTTTCTTCTCTCAGCAGCCAAACAAAGACCTCTGAAATTACTATGAACATATATATACATATATATAAACAATCATAAGATTTGAGAAACCCTTCAAATCAAGCAATCTCATCCCAACAACTCCGGCACAAATAAAATGTACAAATGATCATCACCTGCTTTCAGACCAGATAAATCTTAGACAATACCTTGCCAATGTCAGAGCTGAAGCAAATGAAAAAACTTGGAGAACATCAAGAAAGTAACGTCTAAAGGACAGTAAAAATTGAAATCTCCAATCTCCATCTCCATAAAGATTAGAGAAAGATCAAAGTAAGAGTTAAGCCAGCAGAATTACAGGGCCTTATAAAGCCGATGTAACTCAAACGCATAAATGGAGGCAGCTAGCACACATTGAATGCCCATAAAAGTTTTAACGGTCTACATTGACTAAATCTCTATTTGCTGCACAGCCCTATATAGAAACAGCTTCATTCAAATCAATGAATTATGGAAAGTTAATGATGATATTCGAATGCACTAGCTAATAGAAGATATGAATGTAAGCGTCCAGACTACGAAAATTTATTCAGTACAATTGTAATGAATCTGGTCGGAAAATACGGAATCCTTAAATCTTATTCGACCGGAGTAGCTGTAGAGATCATGAACCAGTCTAAAATGGTAGCCAATCACAGCATCCATTTCTCTGAAACGGGAATGTCCTGGCTGAGCAATACCCACGAACAAGCCGGAAACTGCCGTCCCTCCGACTACCGGCATTTCCCCGGACTTCGTTCGACATCGGATTCCGCCCGACGACGCTGTACGAGCTGCCGTTGTACTCTCCCTCCACGATCGCTTTTAATGTATGTTCTTCTTTTTAATATGAATTTCTTGTTGAGAATTTATACGAGGACAAAAATGTGTTTAGTGTATGTTTAATTCAGGATTTCGCAAAGATGAATTATTTAACCTGATTAATACATAACTTAAAAATTTAAATATTTGTAATTTAAAATACGAAATAAGAAAAGAAAAGAAAATACGGTGCGTTTCAGTAAGCCCAAATTCTGACTAGGCCCAACAGACTAGAGGCCCAATTATATGGGCTTTTACACGACGAAGCCCAATTACAGTAAAATACACGGCCCATAAAATCAAGTGCTTGACGCCAACTTCACGTTGCAGGAGAGCGAAACGATCATCTTCCCCGCCAAATTCCTAGCCGTATAAAATGGACTCCAGAAAGAAGCTCTAGAGGGAGAGAGATTGCAATGGAGGAGAGTGAGAGTGAAATCCGAATCAAAACCCTAACCGGAGAATCACTGACCATCTCCATTTCCGGCGACAGAACAATTGAGGACCTCAAGCTTCTACTTAGGAAGAATTTCCCCTCCGCAACCGTTTCCCCCAATTTTCACCTCTTTTCTAAGGCAATGAACATCTCCATCTCCCTCTATCCCTCTCTATACGACTACTTTTGGTTTTGCTTGATGATACTTGACATTTTCGTTTCAGGGTACTAAGTTGAAACCGCAGAGTGAAATTAGTGCATGCCGCATTGACAAAGGCGAATTTCTAGTGCTCATTCCATTTACTAAAAAGGAATCTTCCAAGCCTCAACTTCGCGATCAATATGAACAAGGATCCAGTGTTTCGGGCGGAAGCTCAATTTCTCTATTCGCTGATTCTGCATGGTCCGATATGGTCCAGGATTTGTCGTATTTACATGACTGTTCTGTTCAAGGGAGAGAGAGAAATGGCCTCGAGAGTGAGAGAGGGAATTTTGAAACTGGAGGTGTTGATTCTGAACTGGCAGCGACGTGTACTACCGGTCCTTCTAGTTTGAAAGCAAGAGGCAAAAAGGGTTTCATTTGTAATGACTCGAATGGGATTTTAGATGACATTTTGAGGAACTTGTTATCGTCTCCTACTGTGGGATTGTTAAGCGAATACAATTGCGAAAACTTGATTAAGTTTTTGGAGTCTGTGGATTGTTTATCAGACCCACGTAATGAGAAGTGCTTGTTGGCAAAACAAGCTAATTCCCGAAGTGGCAGCAGAAAAGCGCCAAATAGAACACGTTGTTCTTCATGCCTATGTCCAGTGTGGCTGAAGAAGATAATGAAGACATTTGCTTTCTTAAATGTTCTATCAATGTTTGCTCAACTACGAGAAGAAATTATAACTGCAAGTCGGTTGGAACAAGCAATGGACCTGCTGCAGAAACATGGAATTACGCTTCGTATGGAGGACATGAAGCATCTCTCTCTTCTTTGTCCCAAGGTACTTGATTCGGTGTCCGTGAGCGTTTTCCAAGTTTAATGGGGGATCATTATATCATCAAAACAAGAAATTGCGAAGAAATTCTTGGTTGTCAATTTACATGCTAATGAAAAAAATGGCTCAAGCGACAAAAATACATTACGAGTGATGGATAGTTGTCAATTTGTAACGACTAGGTTCTTTTTCGTTGTGTATGGATTTCTTAAGAACTCATGCTATTACATCATCAATCATTCACCCAGCCTGCAGTTTTAACTAGGACATATTCTGCCCGTGCCAGGTAGTACATTTTGCAAGTGGCACTTTGGAAGATAGCTATGATGATAAGATTATCATTGTTAATTATTTGACCGCACAAAATAGTCGATGGACAGCTGATAATACGGGTAAGTTGAAATTCAGACCATGATTGAGATGTATTCGATTTCCAATTGGATTTTGCTTTATTTACATAACGTTGTTGATCTACAGCATATAAACTGTCGTCCAAAGCACCAACGGATATCACTCCAATGAAGAGACGGGAAAAATCCTTTAAATTTTACCTTTGGGAGGCTATTAAGGGCCATATGGTGTGTTTAACTATTCCTTGTCTCGTTGGTTTTGTTATAACATCTTTTCACGACGAAGAAATGACTTGAGAGCATCCATGTTGCTATTCACACCGTTGAAGTTTTATGAGATGAGTAGTTTAATAGAGTTGAATGAATATATCGTACTTCAAGATTTCTTGTTACCCAGATGGTATTGTTGCCGTATATCTCCTCCTTCGTGCCCTGTATATATACACCCGATTTTCTCAATTTCAATATCCAGTCAGGACTTCTCCTATCCCTTCTGGAAGTAAATATAGGTTAAAATATTAGTATAATGCTGAAATGAGCTTGAGAGGAGGGTGTATGGTTGGTTATTTGGACATGAATTTGCTAACTATAAACAGCAGCACTATTGATAACGGGACATGAATTTGGTTCCTCTTAGCAAAAATTGGCCATTAATCACTCTCGAAGTCTAGTTGAAATCCATGCTTTCATTGGCCTTTGTGGATGCCACACATGCTTTGAAACAAACGGTGCCGAATATTAGGAATAAACAATCCAAGTCATGTTAATAGTTCTTAAGAATCAAGAAAGCTTTTCAAGTATTGTTCTATCATGTATCGGTGGAAATGAGTTTAAGATCTGACCAGAAGTTCCCCATTGATCCAGCAGATATGATGATGACTTCAAAATAAAAAGGACGATTACTATGCTTTAAAATTTTTGCATTGCAGTCTCAACTTTTATCTGTGCAATCATTTGGGTTTATTATCCAGCTAGTTTCTGTGTATCAGTTTCTTTATTCAGTGTCCGATTTTCTACCATTGAATTAATTAATTGGCTGGTGCGAATGCAGCTTAGACATGGAAGCAGAAGTGAGATATGTGTGTCTTTTTCTTTGGAAGATTTAATTACGTCGAAAGCGTCTGCTGTGGATGGAAATGAAGCGAAGCGAGCAAAAAAAAGTGACATGGCTTCGTCAAGTTCTCAATCTGATCGAGTACAATGTCATGTATGAAATTGTCGTTAGTATATATTTAGTTGTGGAGTTGTTTGGTTCTCTTTTTGCAAATTGTCAATGCAAAATCTGACAGAGGAAATAAAAATATTTTGAGCTTTGATGTTGATTTTTCTTTGCAAGAGACGTGATTTTCTAAACTTTGCTATCCCATGAAGTGTGCTTGTGTGTCTACTGCCCATTCACATATGACTATAAAAGTTTATATCAACCTTTTTACATACAGCATTCATGAATCCAAAAGTTCTACCTCTAATTTCATGTCTATGATAGTTTACTGCATGGTTTGTATGCTTAATTACAACAGCCATATGGTTTCTTGGTTTGACAGGACACTTCGAAACTCTTACCTGAGAACATGGTTGAACATCTTGAAAAGGGTATTGGATCTGAGGGTCAGGTATGTGGCTGAGGAAGTGAGACACGGGCTCAAATTTTATTTAATTAATTGATAAATCAACATGTTTAGTTGTAGTCTGTCAATGGTTGACTAGGCCATCCAGTGAAAAAGTGGAATTTGCATTAAAGTTGTCTTTTCCACATATTTTTAGTTGTTAATTGAGAAGTTTGATATGTATAATTCTCTAAACAGATAGTGCACGTCGAAGATATTGCGGCTAGAAAAGCTAATTATGTGGAAATTCCGGAGGAACTTTCTAATAATGTTATATCAGCACTTAAATGTATTGGAGTAGAAAAGTTGTATAGCCATCAGGTATGCACTCTGTTCAAGTCTTTTTGTGATCATGACAATTCTATTTTATTTTGTTTTTTTAATCAAGGCTCACTGGAGTGAACTTTTGTGAACTCCGTGCCTCACTTGTGGGTTGATACGACTTATAACTTGTATATATTCATTTTGAGTTGAATACATTTTCTTTAATAGAAAAAAAACTGTTTTGCATTTCTACTATATTGAACTTGATAGACAAGGTCGATAGAAGCCTCCCTGGCTGGAAATCATGTTGCAGTTGCTACAATGACATCAAGTGGAAAATCTCTGTGCTATAACTTGCCAGTTCTTGAATCAATGTCTCAAGATGTCTCATCATGTGCACTTTACTTATTTCCAACTAAGGTATGTTCTCTGCTGCATTATTGCATAAGTTGTTTGATACAAATTTGCTTTGTATTGAAATACTAAATCTTTTTACACATTTAGGCCTTAGCTCAAGATCAACTCAGAAGTTTGCTTGTCATGATGAAAGGGTTTAATGCTGACCTTAACATTGGCGTTTATGATGGTGATACCTCACAGTCTGACCGGATTTTATTGCGTGATAATGCTAGGCTGGTAATTTATGAAGGCATTTTCTTAAGCCTTCCCCTTCCTTCCCTAAACGTTAGTTTGAAAACCAAGTTCCTGCTAAAATTTTCTGTTCTTATGCAGTTAATCACAAATCCTGATATGCTACATCTATCAATCCTGCCACAGCACAGACAATTTAGTCGGATATTATCAAATCTGCGGTAATGTGGCACACTTCACAATTTATCTTTCCGTTGTTCAATGTTCAATCTATGTGGTACCATGTTCCATCCCTTGTATCATTCTCTCTCTAACCTTTGTCTTCTTTCTTTTTTAAATACTTTGGCCTTTATGTTTATCCTCAATTAATTTGATTGCCTTGTATAGGCCTTGCTGGTTGCGTGCGCACTAATTATGCTGATGTTTCGCACATTAAACTGTCAATATTGTGCACATTTACCTCAAGATTTTATCACTTGATTTTCTTACCCAGGTTTATAGTCATTGATGAGGCTCATACTTATAAGGGAGCATTTGGATGTCATACTGCACTAATAATACGGAGACTTCGCCGGCTTTGCTCTCATGGTGTGGATTACCACCTAGTGTGGAGATGGAAATTGAGGGAGTTATTCATCTAAATTTCAACTTAAATTTTGTTGTAAAAAATATTCTGTTTTCTTGTGCAGTGTATGGAAGTGATCCTTCTTTTATATTCTGTACAGCAACTTCTGCAAATCCACGCCAACATTGCATGGTAAGTGTAATGACTATTGCTAAAGGCATGTGCTCTTAGTATAGATGTCTACTGTTGTTTTTTAGTACAAAAAATATCAAACAATTTAATTATGCATCCTGTTTTTCTCTTGAAACTCGTTTGAAAATGTATAGAAGCATCTTCATTAGTGCAATATATGTTTTGTCTACCCTACCTTAATTGTTCTCTTTGCTATAATTTTAGTCTAGTGTCTTTTGTTGACATAATGAAGTGTCAAAAAAGTGGCAACATGATGGATGAGATTCAATCCAGGCATACGAAGGGTGTGTAATAGAGTGCTTTTACAAGAAGTTCTTTTGTTTCTGTCATAAGTCTTTCTAAAAAATGCTTAATATTAAATCTAGTTTTTTTTTTTTTTTTTTTTTTTTTTTTTTTTTTTTTTTTGGTGTGATTATAACCTTGGTCTCGTATTTTTGATTGGAACCGTTTTTGTAGTTGGTTACTTTTGGATTGGAGGCCCTTTTTGTAGTTAATTTTGTACTCCAGCTTCTCTTGGGCTTGTTTTTTTTTTTTTTTTGGTGTGATTATAACCTTGGTCTCGTATTTTTGATTGGAACCGTTTTTGTAGTTGGTTACTTTTGGATTGGAGGCCCTTTTTGTAGTTAATTTTGTACTCCAGCTTCTCTTGGGCTTGTTTTTTTTTTTTTTTTGGTGTGATTATAACCTTGGTCTCGTATTTTTGATTGGAACCGTTTTTGTAGTTGGTTACTTTTGGATTGGAGGCCCTTTTTGTAGTTAATTTTGTACTCCAGCTTCTCTTGGGCTTGTTTTTTTTTTTTTTTTGGTGTGATTATAACCTTGGTCTCGTATTTTTGATTGGAACCGTTTTTGTAGTTGGTTACTTTTGGATTGGAGGCCCTTTTTGTAGTTAATTTTGTACTCCAGCTTCTCTTGGGCTTGTTTTTTTTTTTTTTTTTTTTTTTTTTTGTATTTTCTGGTATTCTTTCATTTGTTCAATGAAAATTCGGTTTCTTATACAAAAAAAAGCTTAATAATAAAGCATCTTGTCGATTGGTTTTAGTTTTTCACAAGTATTTTGATCTAATTAAATGTGTTTTTTTTGGTTGATTGATATTTGCTTCACAAAAATTTCTAGAACCAACTATTTACTGACACAAAAACTATTATAAGTGAGATGTGGGGTGTCGAGAGACTAGTGTGAGAAAATGTGTGAAGAGAGAGATTAATTAGGAGAAGTATGGATCTGGAGGAAATCTTGAGAGAGATTAGTAAGTAGAGTGTATAGAGAGTAATCAATGAAAGAAGTCTCTCTCCTTTATTATTCATCCTTTAACTTTTAAATGATTGGCAATGGCTGTATCTTTGCTTGTCGTTTTCCCAGTCATATTCTTTCAATGAAAAATCAACTTTGACTTCATTCTTTATGAATATGTAAATGAATTGAAATATGCCCCTTTTGTAATGCTTCAGGAACTTGGAAGTCTGTCAAGCTTAGAGCTGATTGAAAATGATGGAAGTCCTTCTGCCAGAAAACTATTCATCCTCTGGAATCCTATTATGGTACTCTCTGTAGGTCTGTCAACATAAATTACATGATAAAGTAATACTGATTTTTTCCTTGTTGCTTCTGTGGTACAGGCCTCAAAAAGTTCTCAGAGAGGTATTGATTCTCTGCAGAGTACAGAAAAGAATGCTAATTTCAGAAATCCAAGGCAACAACTTTCCATGTTTATTGACTTCAGTGGATGAGAATCAATCTCAGTATCATATCATTTAACACTTTGTTTGCCTTTTCAGCCCAATTATGGACATTGCGAGGCTCTTTGCAGAAATGGTTCAGCATGGACTTCGCTGCATTGCTTTTTGTAAAACTCGTAAACTTTGTGAACTCGTTTTATGCTACACGTAGGTGATACTTTATTAGTTGTAGTATATCATTCTGTCTTTTTGGTTTTGATATTTATTCTATTACTTATGCTAACTTCAATTTCACTCAGCCGTTCAGAGATAGTTCCAACTAAAACTTTCAATTATTCTTTTCATTGTTGAAGGCGCGAAATTCTTAAGGAGAGAGCTCCCCATCTGGTTCAGTCTGTGTGTGCTTATCGTGCTGGATACACTGCTGAGGTATATGTGACACCTTCTATTGTTGAAACAGTACATTCTGTTATCTCTGTATATTTTGAACTGCGGAATGGAAACCATGATTTACGGAACTTGGTCTTATTGCAAAATAAAATACTGATACGAAATTCTTCCTCACAAGAAGGTTGGAGCTCTAGTTAGCATTAATATTAGTCAAGAGACTTGTTAAGAAAGAGCTTAGATAGTTAGAATTAATTTTGTGTGTGTGTCGGAGGGGGGGGGGGGGGGGGGGGGGGGGGGGGGGGGGGGGGGGGGGGGGGGGGGGGGGGGGGGGGGGGGGGGGGGGGGGGGGGGGGGGGGGGGGGGGGGGGGGGGGGGGGGGGGGGGGGGGGGGGGGGGGGGGGGGGGGGGGGGGGGGGGGGGGGGGGGGGGGGGGGGGGGGGGGGGGGGGGGGGGGGGGGGGGGGGGGGGGGGGGGGGGGGGGGGGGGGGGGGGGGGGGGGGGGGGGGGGGGGGGGGGGGGGGGGGGGGGGGGGGGGGGGGGGGGGGGGGGGGGGGGGGGGGGGGGGGGGGGGGGGGGGGGGGGGGGGGGGGGGGGGGGGGGGGGGGGGGGGGGGGGGGGGGGGGGGGGGGGGGGGGGGGGGGGGGGGGGGGGGGGNTCCAAAAAGTGCATATATAAAATGGAGCAGGATAGGAGGAGAATAGAGAGTGACTTCTTTGGGGGAAACCTTTGTGGTGTTGCTGCTACAAATGCCCTTGAATTGGGTATTGATGTAGGCCACATTGATGCAACTCTGCATTTGGGCTTTCCTGGTAGTATTGCTAGGTAGGGTTCCTTAATCTTCTTTGTTATACTTGGTCTTTTGACTTTGTCCTTAATTTAGGTTTTTTGGTTTCTAATACTTTTATTCCTCCATTTGCTGTATTCTTTTGAAGCTTGTGGCAACAAGCAGGCAGGGCAGGAAGGAGAGAAAAGACTTCTCTTTCTGTATATGTTGCATTTGAAGGGCCTCTTGATCAATATTTCATGAAACACCCTGAAAAACTTTTTGGGAGTCCAATTAAGTGCTGCCATATTGATGCTGAAAACCAACAGGTTCCAAATTTGATAGTGATGCTTGAAATTGGTGGCCTACTCCCCGCTTTAGTGAAGTTGTGGTTCTCATATTTCTTGATGCTGCTTTTTTAGGTTCTTGAACAGCATTTGTTGTGTGCTGCATATGAACACCCAGTTTGTATGGTTTATGATCAGAATTTGTTTGGTCCTGGCTTAAACACTGCCCTAATGTCTCTAAAAAGTAGAGGAGATTTGATTCCTGCACCATCATGTGGTTCATCCAAAAGTATTTGGACTTATATTGGGAAAGAGGTATGTAAGTAATCAATTGATTCAGTCTGTTCTTTTGGTTGATGGACTAAAGTGTATTACTTATCAGAAATTGGATTTTGATACAAGCCTGTGGTTAACTGAACTATGATGTTCCTATTTTAATATTTTCTAGAAAATGCCTTCACGCTCAGTTAGTATCCGAGCGATTGAAGCAGAGAGATACAAAGTTGTAGATCAGCGCCAAAATGAAGTTCTCGAAGAGATTGAGGAAAGCACGGCTTTCTTTCAGGTGACTGCTGTTTAGAAAATAAAACCATTGACGTATTTAATAAGCAAAATCCTATCTATTTTTTATTCAAAGAGATTAACAAAAGGTGAGGCAGGATCCTTTCATTTCTACTTTTTGGTTGCTCGATTGCCATTTTATGAAACTAACATTATAGGTTTCCGGCTATGTGGGTCAGGTTTATGAAGGTGCTGTTTATATGCATCAAGGACGAACTTATCTGGTCAAAAGCTTGAATTTGTCAACTATGCTTGCTTTCTGTGAAGAAGCTGATCTAAAATATTACACAAAAACACGTGATTACACTGACATTCATGTTATTGGTGGTAGTTTGGTATGTTTGACTTATTGACTTGTAGCTTTTTAACCGCTATCTTTCTGAAGTTGCATATTTGCTGTATATTGGATATCATATCTTCTAAAATTTGGATTTTGGAAAGTGTATTTCTCTGTTAGAAATGTAAGTGGTTTCTTTCAAAAGGCTTGTGGCTTTGGCATTTAAGATGGAGAAACGTGACATGAATTTTAAATCCATAAAAAGTATTGTTACAGTGTTTTTCTGTAGTTCCCAATTTTAAATAGTTTCATGTTGTTAATTAGGCCTATCCAAGGAGAGCTCCAAATATTCCGCTCTTAAAAACAACTGCACAAGCAAATGATTGCAGAGTTACCACCACTTGGTTTGGTTTCTATCGAATATGGAAAGGAAGTAATCAAATTTTTGACACAGTGGACCTCTCCCTTCCAAAATATTCGTATAACTCTCAGGTGGAATTTAAAAACTCAACTTGTGACCTTTTCTTTTAATCAATTGGCCTGCCATCAAGTCATGTTTTTGTTAACTTTTTTTCTTAAAAAAAAAAAAAAAAAAGAGTTCTTCCACCACTCCTGCTGATTTTATTTTCCCTTGCTATGCTAAGCAGGCAGTTTGGATTCCAGTACCACTATCTATAAAAGAAGAGGTGAAGAGGAAAAACTATGACTTTCGTGCAGGCTTGCATGCGGCTTCACATGCTCTTCTGAATGTAGTACCATTGTAAGTCTTGCGTTATAATGTGTTTAAAATTTTCTTTAAAGGTTATGCTCTTGGAACATTGTGTTACCGAACGTGTAAATATAGGATGCTGTTGTAACAAGCACCTGTAAGAAAAGAAGGTTGGGGCCAGGGGGTTAATGAGAACCTTCTCCACCATCTCCACCATCTCCCTACATCCTTTAGGTGGGATCCAACTAATACTAACTAGCCAGATCTCTGCTCCATAGTTTTGTAGAGAAGAGAAACCTTTAGAGATCCAGGTCAAATGCTGCATGCATAACATGCGCCATTAAAAGGGGATTACGAAAGAAGATCTTTGGATAAAATGCATGGTGTTTATCCTCCCTAAAGTTAACAATCAAGTAAATAATTTAATTATCTTCGGGATTTTAGTCTTTGAGAACAGGGTAAACAGAAGGATTGAGATTAGACATTGAATGAGGAACAAAGAAACTAAGTGAATCTGAATATTGTAGATTCCGTAGATTTTTTTTTCACTCTAGGGGATGGCTTGAAGATTCTTTTCCTCTAGGGGATTAGACTTTGAATGAACAAAAAGAAGGATTGGGATTAGACATTGAATGAACAAACAGAGATTCATGGGTAATGTTGAACCGTTGGGTTCCAACGAAGATCAAAATTTTCTGCTATCAACTTAATTACAAAGCCTCAATGCAGCTGAAATGATGCACAATAAAGGAGCCCTTATAGCCTCAATGCAGCTGAAATGATGCACAGCAAAGAACCCCCTTATATGACTTTTCTGCTACATTGGTGCACCTTGACTAGAAAAATCAAAATAGACTGAGGCATCTATTCTTGTAAACTTTTTCTCATGGGAAACCGAGCTATCTTTCAGAAAAATGAAAGAGATATATTTTTCCAACTTTTGGAATTCAGTATGAAGGAATTCCATGCATCATGGGTATTTACTTGCTTGGCTCAGTACAACTTGGTCTGGCTGATACATGGGCACGGTTTGTGTGGTTTGAGTGGAGAAGAAAGAATTCATCATTCCTATGGGCTTTATGCTTTGGGAGATGCAATAATCACGAAGTTAGCTACTGGGGAGAGGTCTTTGATTTGGCCAAATTCCAATTTTCCTCTTGGTGGTCACTTTCTTACTCTATTCACAACTTCACCTCTTCAATTGACACAAGTTGGAGCTAACAGGTCAGGGCATTACTTATAAACGTTGGAGGTTCTAATTACTGAAGAAAGAAAAAACACGACAAAAATCTATAAATGTTTGCTGCTCTTTTGTTAATCCTATAAGTTCAGCATATTTTCAATCTCAGCTCATCACTGTTTCTTGCAGACGTATAATTTGCAACATGTCTGACTTGGCTCCTGAATGTGCAAATCCTCATGATTCTCGCTATTTTCCAGAAAGGATTCTGTTGTATGATCAGCATCCTGGAGGAACTGGTATGTCACTTCAGGTGAGAATTCTTGCTGCTGTATTTATCCTGTATGTTAGGTGTTGGTCAATGCTTGAAGATCCAAGATCCTAGAATTTTTATATGCGGTCAATTTCTGCTAAATCATTAGAAATTTGGTTTTTTTTATTACTAAGAACTTAACCGAACTTGTAACAGATTCAACCCGTTTTCATAGAGTTGTTGAATGCTGCTTTAGAACTTCTCACCTCTTGCTGCTGCTTCGGAGAGACCGGCTGCCCTAACTGTGTCCAAGTTTGCTTCAATTTCCCTCTCAAAATAATAATAATAATAATAATAGAGAGAAAAATAAAAATAAATTGTAGGTCAAGGTTAAGACGTTAAGAGTGATGTTTTTTCCTTTTCCCAGAGTCTGGCCTGTCACGAATACAACGAGGTTTTACACAAGGATGCAGCCAGTTTAATTATCAAGGTTGGAACTTGTAATCCATGGATCTTAATTTATTTCTGCTCGTGCTACTTTGTTTTGGAAATTGACTGAATTATTCATCCACTCAGGGTGTTCTGGATACAGAGAAAACATATTACAGGTAAAATTTCTTGATTGCATGAATCTGAGGACGAATTAAGACTGTTATTTCGAATTAAGACTGTTATTTCGAGGGTCAGAAATCTCTCCCCACTAATTCACAAAGCCCAAAATATTCCTTACCACACTCATCTCCCCATATCTCAACACGAACTGTCTACTGTGAAATCCCCTTCTTACACCTCCTAGTATAAGTATGCACGCTCTGCACTTCCCAACACAAATCGTGCATATGAAATGAAGTCTTATCAAAATATAATAAAATGGGAAGTCCTAATTCTACATTTTTAACCCAGTTGTATTAGCATTCATTCTCTGCTGGAATTTTCATCCAGTTTACTTATGAATGATCGGGAAGTAAATTCAGAGAGTTAGTTGAATTTAGTTTGCATATGAAATGAAGCCTATCTAAATATAATAATTCAGTTGGCCTTTGAATTATTTCACCAAAGTCCAACCTAATAAATTTGCTGCCATTCTGATGAATAGCCCGTAGTCATAGAGAAGGTGGTGGCTGAAATAGTCGTAGTGTGCTGATGAGTGGCGACAGTGCACCTCTGATCCACCTGAGCGTGTCAGCGCTGCGCCATTGACTTGAGAATTGTGATAGGTGTTGAAGCTCCACAGCCAACAACCTCCTTCGGAACGTTATTGATTGAGCTTGAGGTAAACAATAATCATTCTTGTCCTTTCTGAACATTTGGAAATTTGTTTTCTCTCTTCTTCTATTTCCTTTCTGAACATTTAGTCAGTTTGACCCCATAGTGCCGAAGAAGATTGATGTTCATTCTTCTTTTTTCATCAGATTATGAAGTACTTGCATGTGATTTCGATGAGACTTGCGAACTGTAAGGTTTCTGACTTTGATATCTTAGAACTCAGTTCTTTTAAAAATTTGAAAGTTCTTTTGGTGATATGTGTGTATTTTCTGATTCAAGTTCATGGGTACTTTTGCATAGGCGATTCACAGGTAGATCGGCTCTTTCGCACAAATCAGAGAACTATTGTATCACATCTCCCAATTATATGTGCTGACGGCTCAAACATTCATTACTTAGGCTTGACTGAACCTCGGTATATATATGTTTCTTAAAAAAATTATACATGAAATGATGGCTTCAATTGGGAGTAAAATTTTAGAGGAATTGCTGTTTTTGCTATTAACTCTTTCTTCGCTAATGTTGTCCAATCGGTTGAAAACTTGAGAGGCATCGCTGTTTCCATAATGGTGGCTATGCTGACTACTGTTTATTATAGTTGGCAATACCTAGCTTCTTAACTAGAATTAAACAATAGAACACCTCAAATTTAACAATGGAAGCTTTTACCATTCATTTCAAATACTCATTAAACCCCCATCCCATGTGCTACTTCCAAAAATGTCGAAAAAATGTTTATCGAGATTTGAAAGGCATTCATGACATGCACAAAGTAACGATTCATCTGACTTCAACTTGATTCGGCTGAAGCACAGGAGATCGAGTATGAACAATAAATTGGTTTCATTACATTATAACTAAAATGTTGGGACAAATTATTAAGAAATTGACATGTAAACAATAATCTATAGCTTGCAGATCATGAGGGAAGTAAGAAGAAGAAGAAGAAGAGGAGACCTACAGCTTGCGGATGGGATAAGAAGCTATCACCAACCAAAAAATGGACACCCATAGCCATTTTCCTCATTACATATTAACTTACTCTAATGTGTAAAAAAAAAAAAAAAAAAAAAAAAAAA